GTATGCATCAAAGATCTTTAGAGTTTTCAGCCACTGAATTGCCCTTGTCAAAATACATTCTTGTTCCAAGCATTTCTTTCTTCCCACAAGGTCCAAATCAAGGTTCAAAATATTGATACGCCCGATATGCTAGTAGGGGTGTATCGGGCGTTTCAATACTTGTTTTTTTATTGTTTTTTTAATTTTTTTTCAAAACTGATTCAGGGGAGTCGGTCTAAGACCCCTATATCCCCAAAACCGGTCAGACCCCCGATACACCCACTGTAGGGGTGTATCGGAAGGATCCTGGAATGATACGTATCGGCCGATACGTAACGATACTTTGAACCTTGGTCCAAAATACTACTGCTCTAGTGCATCTCCACATTAATCTTCCCTTCTCTTCTTCCAAGCAAAAGTTAATGAATAAAACAACATCTTGATCTCCATTGGCATTCAACCTACACCCAAACAAAGAGAAAAACTAGTCCCAAATATCTATAGTGAAGGAACAGGGAATAAGTAATTGGTAACAAGATTTACCATCAGGTTTACAAAGAGTGCACCAATTTGGAGAAATACACAGATAAGGTCTCTCCACTAGCAAGTAATCCAGAGTCTTAACTTTCCCATATACTACTTCCCACAAAGCCTTAATTTTAGGGGGAATCAACTAACACTAAACTTCTTTACAAGGAAAGAGATAGGGGGAGGGAGACTAGCAAAGTGCATTGAAGAAAGAGGCACAAGAAAAGACGCTTTTAGGACTTGGGCACCAAATTTTTATATATGATTTCGAAGGTTCTAAGCAAACTCTCTCAAGAAGAAGTAAAAGCTCTGACAATCAAGTGGCTTCATCATCCATCAGTTCCCTTCAAAAGCCAAAATCCCATTTATGACCCAAAGGCACAATGGGAGGGACTAGGAAATTCCCAATCACCACATTTTGTACAAGGAAATGGAATACAGAGTAGGGAACAAGTCTTTAAGGGGTCGATCACCAAGCCAAATGTCTACCCAAAAACAAGTTAAATTCCCTGAACAAACATCATACCTCACAAACCTGAGGAATTGTGGAAGGACGTTATGGATTCATTTCCAAGGTGTTTACAAAGTCACCTGACGTGATACACCAACATCCCAACCACTCTCCAAACTCCCATCAATAATATCCATTGCCTCATGCCACAAGTTTTCCCTCTCCAATGACCATCTCCATAGTCACTTCCCTAAAGGAGTTATTTTTTCCTCACATTCCCTAAAGGAGTTGTGTACTTTTTCACTTTTGCGTATAACCACCCATTTGACTAAGTGGTCATTCCTTGGCTCTCCCAATTCCCAAAGGAAATTCCTCATATTTTTTTATAGTTTCTTTTCTTCCCTAGGTGAGATCCTAAACACAGAGAGGAAGTGGATTGGTAGGTTAGGCAAAGTTGATTTTATTAAAGTAATCCTACCTCCCAACAAGATATAATTCCTCTTCCACGCAACCAATCTTCTTTCACATCTTTCTACAACTAGGCTCTAGAAACTACTTTCCTTAGGGTTGCCACCTAAAGGGAGATCTAAATAGGTTAGAGGCCAAGAGGTGATGATACAATCTAAGCAATCCGCAACCCGATTTAGAGCATTATCCTCCATATTAATCCCTGCTACACAGCTTTTGTCTAAATTAATTTTCAAGTTTCAGATCCTTCAAAACTTTTTGATCAATTCTCTTAGTTTCCTTGTCCTTCTAATGTCTCCCCCTCCACAAAAAATGATGATATCATTTGCAAATTGGAGGTGAGTAACTAGGACATTGTTTCTGCCCACTCTCCAACCCTTAAAATCATCTTCCCTATTTAAGAGAAGAGCCTACTAAAAAACATCAACCACAAAGGTTAAAAAGGAAGGGTGAGAGGGGATCACCTTGCCTTAACCCTCTACAAGTTGGAAAGAAGACTTTCTCCAACCCACTAACAAGGATGGAAAAATGGCAGGACCACATACAACCAAATATCCAATTGCACCATCTTTCCCCAAATCCATATTGCTGCATCACCTCTATCAAGAAGCTCCAATCCACCAAGTCAAATGCCTTCTCCAAGTCTAATTTGCACACAAATCCATCCTTCCTAGGATATCTTCATTTCCTCTACACATTCATTGGCTATTAGGATTTGATCAATTATTTGTCTCCCTTGAACAAAGGTTCCTTGATACTAGCTGATGAGAGAGGTCAATACTGTTTTAATTCTCAAGGATAGGACCTTAGCAACTATTTTGTAGATACTAGTCACAAGACTAACGGGTTGAAAATCCTTGGGTTGGCTAGCATCAGATTTTTTTGGAAATAAAGCCATGAAAATTGCATTAATTCTAGGGCTTATGACATGTGTGTTCAAGCATTCCCTAAAAATCTCAAATACATCATCTTTCAGCACTTCCCAACAATCCTGATAGAAAGCTATTGTACAACCATCCAGACCCGGTGCTTTAGATCTATCCATGGACAAGACTGCCATCTTTATTTCCTCTTCCTCAAAATCCCTTTTTATCCACCTTGCTACTACTTCTAGTGCCGTCCATTCTAACCCTTTTATCCTCATTCTTTCATCTAAGGGTCTTCTGTAAAAAGATTTGAAGTGGTCCACAAAGATTCTAGTTATCTCATACTGATTAGATGCCATTTCTCCATTTCTGCTACATTTTTTCGGATATGTTGTCTCTTAACTGCCAAAGACTCTGTTCTATATAATGTTTCTGGCCTAATAACCGTTATATAGTATTTATCTTTTAGCCCCATAGATCACACTTCTTAAAATATTTCTATAAATGGCATAACAGTCTATCTTGATAAATTTTAAAACGCAAATACATGGTGCCTCACCCATGATAGCAGCAAGCACAAAGCGGTTATCCAGGCTCCATACAATCATGTTAACACCACGAGGAGTGGGAAGAAATCTCTGGCGTGGGCCTCCACGAGGAGGTTGAGGAGGCATTGGCGGAGGTGGAACTTTAAGATGATATGCACGTGTCCAGCGTCCAGCTTTGCCCTAAAATAAAAACAATAATACAGAAAGAAACAGAAGTCATAATCATGATATTTTATTTATGTGGTTTGATAAATACATTTAATTGCATCAGAAGTTGAGTGCAATAGTATCTCAAAGGAAACGTTTCATAAGAAACATTATTATCCAACTAAATATATATAAATAAATAGGAAGCAATCAAATCATAGTGGGAATTCATCTTCAAGATTGGCTCACATGAGATCTACGTGATCTTGGAACCCAAATAATAGCACTGCCATCACGAGAACAGGTAACTATGTTGTCATGAGAAAACCTGGAAACACATGGATACAAAAAAACATTGTTCTTCAACATAACTTTCAACAATAGATTACAAGAATTGTTGCTCATGCACTAAGACTGAATCAGTGCTCGAAATTGCCAAAAATAGCAGTTACACAGTATTACAGAGTCAAAGGAGAATACCGACATACCAGGAATTTTTGAATTTTGGAATATTTTCTTCCTTTGATATGTCAGTTGTTGAAAATTTAGACGCCACAGAACAGCCACTGCATGGTAGATCAGCAAGAAGATCAGCATGTAAGACCATGAAAGATAAATTTTTTATTATCCACAACAACCCAACCTGAATTGCACATAATTGACATCATTTTCATGGCCAGACAGCACATCAATCTCATGATTCGGTTGCTCTGAGTCATCTGTGTTTGATTTACACGCATTCCACACCTGCAAGTAACTGTTCTTGTTAAATGGATCCATTCATTCACAGCCAAATCTCAATAATAAGGTTTGAACAAAAATTCTCAAATTCCCAAGGTTTACATTCAATGTGGGAGGCAATGATACTAATGTATATTAGAAGCTCGGTTTGGGGAAGAGCTCAGGAAGATTACTTTTTTTTTATATGTCAGGACTCAGGAAGGCTACTAATTAAATGTGTACAAGACCATTACCCAATGTTCATCCCAGCTATCTGGGGTCTTGAAAGAGGTGTTTTTTACAATTTACACGAGGTGGCTGCTCTCAGACTTGAACCCACATTGTCACACTTGACAGCCAGAGAACCATCACAACAAGTAATCACCCCTTACTAAATAAAGATGTGTATGATAACTACTTTTCTGTAGCAAAATAAAAAATTTTATTAAGAGAAAAAGAAGATTGCAACAAAGGTGGCTGCTCTCAGACTTGAACCCACATTGTCACACTTGACAGCCAGAGAACCATCACAACAAGTAATCACCCCTTACTAAATAAAGATGTGTATGATAACTACTTTTCCGTAGAAAAATAAAAAATTTTATTAAGAGAAAAAGAAGATTGCAACAAAGGTGACAAGAAACCACCTAAGAGAAAAAAGAAAACCACCACACCCAAACAGAACCAGCTTCAACCCTAAACCACTCAGACCAAACAAAATCATCTCAACTCAAACCAAATATGCCAACAATCACTCAACCTCATCAAACTCGTCCTCAGCATCTGAACCCTCCAAATCTTTTGAACCATTTCCTTTCTTTATTCTAGACACCAGCTCCAAAAAGGATTTTCTTGCATACTCCTCACCCAAAAAAGAATAATCCCAATGATTGTTCTTTATAACTACATAACTAAAAGCAAAAGCATTTAGGCATACCCTTGCATAAGTGTCTGAGCTACCAGTGACAAAAACGGTTCCACTAGCATTGAATGCACAGCACAATATCTGATGGTTCTGTGGACCACTGCTTGATGATGGAGCATTGTTCTTTCCTGCGATCAGTTTCATTATCCCTGTGTAATTTCTAAACCCAAACCCCAGGAAAGAAACATAAAACACCATATATGCTAACAAACTAACCAACTATCACATCTGGAGGCTTTGGAAGATAAATTCGTGGACTAAAGTTGGAATTCCTAGCATCCCAGATCCGACATGTTCCATCATCTGATGACCTACAAGAGGCAAAAAAGAGAAGAAATGCAGAATAAATTATTAAAGCACAAAGCATCAAGTAAATCCAGATCTCAATGCAGGTACTTAGATAATAACAGCTCAAGAGTGGATGGTAGGTAGCTATCACCAACTCACATATACAAAAAGAAGGAAAAGGCAAGCAGCAATCCCATATTCATGCAGGAAACAATATATAAGAAATGAAGGGAGGAGTTAGGTAGCTATCACCAACTTAACTAAAAGAAATCCTCATTGTACATAACCTGGGGTCACCCAAAACAAAACAAAAAATAAAATAATATAAAATATAAAATATAAAATAAAAAGAAACAATAGGAACAGAAGCCCCCATCATCAATATTTCTTGATCCTGCTTAGTTGGTAAGCCTTCATACACCCCTTTTTAATTCTAGCTTTGACTTTCACTCCCTTCCTCTTCTACATCCTCTTAAATTTGTTACATGAACCTGCTCCACAGAGACCTTTCAACCAAGAGAAATATATGAACCAACTGACAATTATTTGATCCCTCTACTTTTTTTCAGGTCCAATGGAATTTTTCATTTAGTTCCATCCTCTTTTACCAATCCATCCTTGTCCACCTCCAATCTCTTCCTCCCCAAGTCTCTGCCCAGCATACATTCCTTCATCAGGTATTTTCACACTCCTGTCTTTCTTTTTTTTTTCTTTTTTGATAGGTAATAGAACTTTTATTAAGATTAAAAGAGACAATACAAAAGATACACACCAAAAGCTTCCCACAAAGACACGCAAGATGCAGCCTCAAGAAACAAGAAGGAGAAAATACAATTGAGCCCAAAATAATTGTTTCTTATGCATCCCTTGCTTAGCTAAACAATCTGCTACCCCATTTGCCAATCTTCTTTCCCATTGAAGCTTTACTACCATGCTTGTGGTTAGCCACTTGAATCTTCGCAAATAATCTTTTTGATAGGTATTTTCACACTCCTATCCAACTGTTAACAATAAAAAGAACACAAATAGTTCTCCAAAAAAAAATTGGTTTTTCCAGCTTTATTATTTCCCTCCCAGCAATAAATGCAGAAGCAGAGGTGGTGAATGGATTATGCTATCCTTAAAGCAGAGGTCGCATTTCATGCCTCTCATTAGGCTGTTTGTATGCTCACTAATTCACTATTGATAACAATTCCATTCATTTATCAAAAAAAAAATGGATTATGCTATCCTGAAATCAAGCTGAGAATAGATAATCATGCATTGGATAAAGCCTATAACTGATGAGATTTATGATTGATTTAAGCATTTGTTAGGAACACAGGGGGAGCTGTGATAAGCCAGCTTATACAACATGTGTATTCAAGAAAGAAGAAAGGAAGCCATGTGACAAATTGGAACAGATTACCTGAAAATTGTAACTACCAATCTTGATTCTTGATCTTGAATAAAGCCCATAACTGACCATGTAATAAAGAGAAGAGGGAAATCAAATTTCCATCACTCTCTCTCTCTCTCTCTGAATAATAGGAGTCTCGCCCCCTTGAAGCGGTTACTCTAACAGAGGCTAACAGCATTGCCATAGACTGACAAACAGTCCAAAAATATGGATTACTTTAGGCTCTGTTTGTTGCAGTGCAAATGAAATTTGTACTGTTGTAAATGCATGGGAGCGTAAATGGTCTGAATGTAAATTCTGGTATATTTTTGCTTGATAGTTGACTTTGTTTGTGAGGAAGAAAGTGAATTAAAATGACACAGTCCCACTTTATATGAAAGAGAAGAAAAGCAGTGTGGCTTTTTGTTTGGAACTAAGGTAGTAAAATGATGTAATCCCCACTTTGTATGAGAAGAAATTAAGGTAGGAAGAAGCTGGTATAAATTTTGAATACATTATTGAGGTACAAAATTTGCACGGCCAATGAGACAAAAAGTATAAATTTTGCATCATGTAAGACCGTAAGATTGCAAATAATAATTATAAACAAACATATGCAAGTACAAACCAAGTGATAATTTTGCATCGGTCCAGATTAGACTGCAAATGAAGTAAAGGTGGACAACTGGATAAAGAGCAGGGGGCTGATCAAGTTGGGTGTATGGAAGGGTTGGGGGATGACCAGTGAGGACACCATAAAATCCAATAGGTAAAAGAAAATAATAAGAGAGTGAAAGGATGATAATATTGATTCTGTTTTCAACTTTTCTTCTAATAAGTTTTACAGTTATCAATCAAAACAAAAAAAAAAAAAACAAAAGAGTGGGAATACAAAAAGACAACACAAGTGATATGATACTTCTGAGCTTGTGCATTCAATAGCTTGCAAGCATGTTCACTCAATGCTTCACCTGCTGCCATATGATACTTCTGTGCCCAACACCTTTTTGCCTTGATGAGCGACTTGAGGGGGCCTTCCTTTAATGACTCTTGGCTTGGCTAGTTCAGATGATCCATGAACACTTAAAGATCAGATGAGAGAAGAAAGGATTGGGTGGGTCTAGGTTAAAGAGTTCATTCAGGTTGGTTCCTAAAAGAGCCAATGAACTTGCCCACCCAATTGCAAGAAGTTGGTAGGTAGATCTTAAGTTGTACAGAGGGTGCCAGATCCAACCTCCTATGAATAGGAATGCAAGTCATCTAACATCACAATAGCTACCTAAAGTGATTCAACCAAGATACAAAGAGAGATTCATAGGAATGAATAGTGGGATATAATGTTTTAAAACATGGAGGTGTAGTGCAAGGCATTTCACTGCCTAGATGTGACGGTTCAAAACAGGCTTAACCTTGCCTACGCTTGGCAGGCTTACATTAGGGACATGACCGTCATTTTCGCCTGTAAGATTTTTGGGAGAACTGATGTCATCTTCAGGCAGACCACCAAAAGCTTAACGTACTCTTTGAGGAGGGGTGGTCGACCTCCTTGGGTGCCTAACCTTGGCACTCCTAGACCATCATCCCCTTGCGGGGCGGCCCTGGTTAACGGCTAGCATGGCTACCAGGGTTCCTCATGGGCGCACACTTGCTCATGGGGGCAGTGTTGGACCGGCACTGCACTACCGATACTCAAGGGAGGCTTGGCATGCGGGCCTGGCTCAAGCATGTCCCTTCACCTCGCCAGCCCCTTGCCCAAGCTGAGTGAGCTATCCCGTTGCCTCTAGCGCACGGGTGTGTTTCGGCCCAAGCGGTTGCCTATCATCATGGCACACAGGTGCCTGTCATCATCGGCATACAGGAGACCCTTCACATCGGTGCCAAGTCACCTCATCGGCGCATGGTCGCCTTSCATTATGGTTGTCCCCCTTTAGCACGTAAGCGGCGCCTCCCATGGACCGGTCTGAGCCAGGAGAGTGCCCCGGCCATTGGACTTGAGGTCATGATCCAGTGCTACTGACTTTGGTGGAGCCATCCCATCGGGCAACTCCTAGCCTCTAAGCGCATAAAGGCTTGTCCTGGCCTGCCTTGGCCAGGACGCACGGGTTTCTTCCGCTGTAGAACTACCCCCGTGACATAAAGGCATGTTCAGAATGTAAGAGACATTAGCCTCCCGAGCACAAGAAGGTGTAAGCCTCCTTAAGAAGAAGGGAGATGTGGAGGAGGAGGAGGAAGGCAGATCTCATCTTTTTTTCTTTTTTCATAAAAGATGTCTCGTATTAAGAAGAATGAAGATACACTATATTAGATGAAATAGGACAGTCTTGTCAAAGTGGAGGCAAGCATGCTGAGTGAGTGAGCTAGAATCGAGCAAGGCCCCTCTTGGCACAGAAAAAAAAAACGGTTGCATTTAAAAAGGTGGGGGTGAAGGGGGTCCAAGGCAGAGCCCCCTGCCCAAAATTTCTTTCCTTTCTCTTTCCTTTCATTTTATTTTCTTTATTTCTTCTGTTCTCTTTCTTTCTTTCCCTTCCCTTTTCTTTCTTCCTTGTATTTTCTCTTTCTGCCTTTTTAGCATGAGGTGTGCACCTTGCACCTCATGAATCCAAGGCATACACCTTAGGGCATTTTGGGAGCACCTCGCCCGGAGGTGCACAATATGTATATATAGGCATACACCTCTCACGCCTTTTAAAACACTGAATGAATATTTGAAGAAAAACTTTGGTATCATTCAGATCCACATCTATAATAGGGTGTGTGTGTGTGCACGCATTTCTTTTATTTTTCCCTTTATAGAAACAAGAGCTCCTACCCCTCCTCCAATCCCCCCCCCCTTCCATCAAGATCTCACAACTATAAAATCTCCCCACTTAAGGGGGCAAACTATTAGCACTATACAAAAAATTTCTATCCACCGCAGATTTAGCCAAAAGATCTGCAATTGAGTTCAGCTCCCTAGGAATCCATCTAAAGCCGCAATGCAGAGAAGAGGTTATTTCCGAAATCTCATTGAGGAAGCGACCCAACCTCCAAGGGCCCTTTTCTGGGTGGGAAGCCCAATTAATAACATTTCTGGAATCCCCCTCAAGAGAACAGAGTACAGCTGCAGAGATCTAACCATTCTCAGACCTAACACCAAAGCTCTGATTTCAGCTTCAGAAGCATCCACAGAACCAACTGGGCCACTGAAAGCCCAAATCACAGAACCTTCTCTGTTTAAGATAACTCCCTCGATGCCAGCCGCTAGCAGTTGATTGGGAGATGATCTGCTGCTGCCATCAAACTTCAGTAAGAAATCTAGATCTGGTCTTGGAGTGCTGGATTGTCCGGGCTGATTGTCAAAGTGGGACGACTGTACAATCTCTAATAAATTTCTTTCAAGATTAGAATAGCTGAGATCTTTGAACGGATCAGAGAGAACAGCCAGGAGAAAATGTAAGGAATGAATCCCAAACTTGTTGTCAAAGATTCTCTTGTTAGTTCACCCCAGATACACCACATAACAGCATTAGTTAAGGCTCTCCAAAAGGTTTTACCTCTTGAACCCATCTTGCAAGAAGGCCGCTGATTAAAGAAGCTTGCCACACTATTGGGAGGAACCCAATAGAAACTAGCACCAAACATCATATCAAGGAAGTATTGCCAAAG